GAAGCTACCGACCATATTTAGTTTGAGCCATATGCAACAGAGATTTTCTCGACAGAAAAAACCCAATAACTGAATTCTAAATAATAAGATTTAGTTTTAATCGAGGCTACCGACCATATCTAGTTTGAGCCATATGCAACAGAGATTTTCTCGACAGAAAAACCCAATTACTGAATTGTAAATAATAAGATTTAGTTATACTCGAAGCTACCGACCATACTTGTACAGCAGTGGACTTCTGAAGGGCTGTAATGAATGAATTAACGAACAAATGAATAGGAGGTACTTTATTACATCTAGAGTTACCCGAAGCTACCGGCCATACCTAGTTTGAGCCATATGCAACAGAAATTTTTTCGTAAGAAAAACCCAAGTACTGAATTCTAAATAATAACATATAGTTTTAGTCGAAGTTACCGACCATACTTGCATGAGCCATATGCAACAGAGATATTCTCGAAAGAAAAACCCAATTACTGAATTCTAAACAATACGATCTAGTTTTACTCGAAGCTACTGGCCATACTTAGTTTGAGCCATATGCAACGGAGATTTTCTCGACAGAAAAACCTAATTACTGAATTCTAAATATTAAGATCTAATTTTACTCGAAGCTACCAGCCATAGGTAGTTTAAGCCATATGCAACAGAGATTTTCCCGACAGAAAAACCCAATTACTGAATCATGGTCCGCCCCCTTTTCGAAACCTTCAGGACCTTATGATTACGGTCACTAAAACAAGAGCAGGGATCTTGATCTGGCGAAGCTATAATATATTTGCGTAATAAACAACGTTCGGTAACGATAATCCAGCAACATGGCGTCCAGGTCACGTTCGCTAGATTAAATAGAACATTACATGTTTCGCAATGTATTTTAAACACGTTCGCTGTTTTTTTTTTTATATTCAAGTAAAAAACGATGTTACAGTCTACCTATAAAGCGTAAAATACGTGGTAGAGCCACACTACAGCTATATTATGGTTGTAGTACGAATTAGTCTGCTCGACCAGGGAATGAACGCGCTCTTAGAGAATAACAGCGTGAAATAGCACCTTATTACTGCTGTGTTTCGTATAGTGAGTGTACATAACCGGAGACCATTTTAACTCTCATCTTGATTCTTAATAGATTTAGATTTTTAATAGATGTGGAGTTACCCTTATTCAATAAAAATATTTACTGCAGGCTCTTACAGTCGTTCAACATCATCAGCCTGCGGCAGTTCACTGCTGGACGTAGGCTTTTCCCAAGGCGTGCCACTCAGCCCGATCTTCGGCTACACGCATCCGTTTCTACCAGCCACCTTGCGCAGATCGTCGTTCCATTTGGTCAGGGTGCGTCCCACACTACGTTAGCCTAGACGCGGTCCCCACTCCATAACACGTCTACTCCACCGGTTGTCACTTCTGCAACAGACATGACCAGCCCACTGCCACTTCTGGAAGGCTATGTCAGTAACCTTGGTTCTTCAGCGGATTTCTTCATTTCTTCATTTTATTTACCACTGAAACTCCGAGCATAGCTCTTTGCATTGCTCGCTGAGCGACCTTGAGCTTTGGAGCAGCCGTATCGTCATTGTCCACGTTTCGGCTCTTACAATCACGCAGTAGTAATTAACGTTTTGACTGGGAGTAAATGCATTAAGGTATTAAATCGGCCCTTTTCCTTTCACGCATATCCATTTTGATTCGTAATCGAGGATAGATATAAATGAATACGGGCCATAGCAACCACTTACCATCAGTTGAACCATCAGGTTATCCCATAAAAAAGTATACTATGCACGACAAAACAAGAATGTTCAAGCAATATATCCACATGATATGTAGTGTATAGTTACAAGTTTTAAATGCGTTGCCACTCAAAACTTCTGTACTGACTGTACAAATGACATATTGCTGCTCTAACTTCCATTCCAATTTCGTACTCCCCGTACTCCCCGTACCCGTACGTATATACACGATAACTAAATAAATACTTAAACAATTTTAATTATCACAAAATACCTAGACCTGTAGTTCTATTTACTAGGATTTATTTAAGGTTTGGCTAACTATGGAATAAAACCATTTTTACGGAATCTATTGCGTTTAACTTTACGATCTCCTGCAAAGGAGGAGGTATATTGTTCCAAATTTTGGAAGCAGTATATTTGAAACATCCTTTCGCTTTAACGCGCTTATAAGTTGGAAGTGTATATAATAGTTTACTCCTTCGTCTCAAACGTGTTAGTCGACATTTTGGAGATAATTTTTCATATAAATAATGAGGACATTGCGAATTATTTAATTAGATACGAAACAAGCATATTTTAATTTTCTAGTGTAACTCATATTTAAAATATTATTTTTGAGGAGATAAGGAGTTATGCGGTTAGTCCTAGGTATGTCAAAATAATAGCGCATTTTGAACCCTTTGTATTCTTCCTATGGTTTTCTGTGAGAGGCAAAGACCATATACCAAGTCGCAATAATGCAAATGTGACAAGAAAAGACTATTACAAAGACGAAGCCAAATGTTTGGTTTCAGAAAAGAACGAATTTTGTAAAGTGATTTTAAAGACCCAAAACATTTTCCTATGTTTTGTTGTACGTGTTGTACAAAAGTTAAATCTTCATCCATATTAAGGCCTAAGTTACGAATGCAATTATCTCTAGGAATAGTTGTGTCATTGATCATGACAGTTGGGTCAATTTTTTTGATAGATGCAACCTGATAAGGTGTACCCATAATGATACATGTACTTTTTTTGGGATTCAGAAGTTAGCCTTGAGATTTTGACCAATGCTCTATTAATTTTAAATCATTATTTAAGCTGGTAACCACTGTTGTGATACCGTCGTTTGTTGGTGACATATGGACGTACAATTGAGTGTCATCAGCATAAAAGTGATATTTGGAGTGCTGAACTACGTTTTTTATGTCTGTTGTGTATATGGCGAAGAGTGTTGGGCCAAGAATGGAACCTTAAATAACGCCTTTAGAAATTGATAGGGGCTCCGAAATATCAATATTACCTTCAGTATTGATGCATTTTACTTTTTGACTCCGCCCGTAGAAGTATGATTGAAACCGCGAACATGCCGTTTCGGAAAAATCAAAGATTTTTAATTTTGCCAGTAAAAGTGGTATATTAACGCAGTCGAAAGCTCGAGAAAAAATCAAGTAGCACTAGAACGATACCTTGTCCATTATCAGCGGCGGTAAGAATATCGACCGTAATGTGTAATAATGCTGTAGTTGTGCTAAATTTTTGAAGAAAATCCCATTGAAAGACTTGTAAAATGGCATTATTTTTAAGATAGCTAGTAATTTGTGACTTTGCATACTTCTCAACTGTTTTTGACGAGGCAGGCAATATACTTATTGGCCTGAGGTCATCAAAGCTGCCTATTTTATGTTTCTTAGGTATAGGTATGATCAATGAGCACTTCCAAACATCGGCAAATACTCCTTCTAACAATGATTTATTAACGATGGCTTCAATGGCAACTTAAGAGTATGGTAATGTAAGCTTAATCATATTCATGCAAATTTCATCACATCTTTTAGAGTTAGAAGAAAATGAATTAATGATCTTCTGTAGCTCTGACGCACTCACTCTATTAAAATTGAACTCCGACTCGTAGTAGTAACTTCTACTACGAATACTTTCAGAATTTTCGAACTGCTTTAAGTCAACCGACAACACAGGAACACTATTTATAAAATGTGTATTAAGTTTTGTGGCATCCAAAAGATGTTCAGGAATTGATTTACTAGAACCGTTCTAAATTGTTTTATTAATGTGCCGCCACATTAAAGACGGATTATTAATATTATTATTTACAAATTGGGTAAAATATGCCTGTTTCTCAACACGAACAGCACAATTATATATGTTGCGCATCTCCTGGTAAAATTTAATAGCTGATTCGGAATTACATTTTTTAGCTTTCCGGCAAGCCTTATTACGAATATTCCTCATATTCATAAGAGTGTTGGTCATCCATGGAGATGGGGGATTTTTAAATTTACGTGTACATACCGGTGCAAAAGTATCTATTAGGTCTAAAATAAGAAAATTGAATAAGTTAACCATATCATTAAGTTCATTATACTCCAGTATGAGTTCCCAAGGAGTGAATGCAGATGCTTTCTTAATATATTCGGCATTATCTGTCAGTGGTCTGCATTTCACGGTACGGGGTTTTCTGTTAGGGACATTAATAGGAAATGTCGCTATTACTAGTCCATGATCACTTAAGTCATCATTATGTACAAAACCTACCGATGTGGGATGCATATTAACTTCAGTAAATATGACATCAATAAGTGTCGAAGTATGCAGCGTTATACGAGTCGGTAAATTAACAATTTGATGTAGCTTGTAGGAGTTAGTAAGAACTTCGAAACACTTAGGTAGAGTTACATGATTGTTACGATCTATACAGTTTATTTTAATATCACCAACAACAAATACATGCTCGTAATTAGATCCAAATATTGATAAAGATTCGTCAAGAGCATCGCATCCGATATCTTGACTTACAAGCTGAGGTCAATAAGCAATTCCAATTAGTAAACTATGTCGCTTAATTTTAATATCAATCCATAATTGTTCAAGTCGGGGTGATTAAGTTGTTTTACACGTAAATTCGACCTCACATATACACCCACACCGCCACCACGGCCACAACGAGGCTTATGTATGAGATTATAGCCAGGAATAGCATAAGCACCAGTATCAGAGTCAGTTTTTAGCCATGTCTCTGTTAGACAAACGACATCAAAATTAGCCAACTTAAATGAGGCTTCAAGTTCATCCCAACCCGTATTAAGCGAATGAACATTTAACAACCCCGTAATAAACTGTCTACTTTTGTTTGGTGAATTGAATTCTGTCACCTTCATGCACACGACATTGATAGTGAAAAAAAAAATACTATAGTCTACACAGAATTAGGACTTATTTTTTTAAACTATCCACGTTAACAATATGGATACACTCATATTTTTATGTTTTCCGCACAAATATTTTTTCATTTTTAACCCAGACAAACCTGAAGCCTAGTTCTTTTGCACGAGCTCTTGCTGCAGCATACAGTTCTTTGTCATTAGCCCTCAGATATTCTGCTACAAATATCGTTTTTGGTGGATCACATGCAATTCCTAGTACGCTGGTGTTGAGCTTACTCTTACCTTCTTTGTTATATTTACTTGCACTGGCAATGAAGGAGTCACGTATACGTTGGTTATTAAATCTTACAAGAACTGATCTTGTCCTGGTGCTTTGAGGATTAAGTTTCGAAATTCTTATATATTGCGAGATATCGATTTCGTTAATATTACAATTTATGACTTTTCCTATCTGAACAACGGTATTTAATATGTTTTCTTCCTTATTTTCTGGTAGACATTGTATTTCGATGTTAGACGATCTAGCGAATTGTTCCATTATGTTAAAATTATTCCTTATACTGTGAACAGAAGCTTTCAATTTCTCATTATCAACTTCAAGATTTTTTTATAGTAATTGATTTTTCTGCAAGGTTTCTTTTCATTTCTTCAAACTTTTCATTAAAAAATGTCATCGATTTGTGGAAAGTGGCAATTTGCTGTTTAATTATCTCCAACTGTTCCGATACTTGCAATTGGATTACTGATTTACACAGTTACAGCCGTTATTTCCTCCTTAATAATTTTCCGAAGATTTTTAACGTTTAACATAGTCTCTGAATCTAAGTTATCAATAATAAACTTTTGGGCTGTCCGCATAGTGACATTATTGTAGTCATTATTATCCTCAACATTATCGTAGGCATCCTATGTATCGGAAACTATGTTACTCTGTTGCGTACGCACCGGTGTGTTGGTGTTATCACATTTTGGTTGTTTATTGCGACAACCATGACATTTCCATGACTTTTTATTGTCTCCACTATTGACACCACAATAAGCGCATTTTAAATATTCACGACTTTTGATTATATTTGGACAACCTGCACATTTGCCTTTCGAGTTACTATTTATTATAATATAAAATATGAATATTTTTAAATGACTAACCATTGGAAAAAGTATTACTCTGATAGGGCTCGAACCGGGTACTCGGTGATTTCGTTACTCGTGTAATCCACTACGTAACCAATACGCTGCGTCTATTACTACGCGGAGGGTGAAATATGACATCTATTTCTAGAACATATTATTTAATTACAAAGTGAATGTAAGGTACATTGAAATATTAGTATACAGCGAGACAATTCTTTAAATTGAAAGGAAACAAATTCTACTTGTTGTTACACTCAAACACTGTTTTAACTCTTTAATTTCTTGTCAAAAATAGTTTTTCTTGCAAACATCACGTAATCAACAACTTTTATAGACATTAAACCGATTTTAACTAGCACAATGAATAATTCTTGCTAACAACGTTACATAAGTGTGACGTCTAGCCTGGTTGCACGCGGTATTTTCATTCAATACTAGCGACTCCCTCAAGCTTGGGTGGGATCTATTAATGTGGCATTATTTAGATTCTTAAAATAATCATCAATGACAATTTATTTTATTAATATTTCGACTTTAAAAAAAAAAACAATATTTTCGGACAAAATATAGCTAAGCTAGAAAGCTCAGTACGTAAAGTTTCATCACAATCGGTTCACCCATTCGAAGATAAGCTCAGACAGACGGACACACATTTTACAAATTGTTATTTATATCTTAATAGCATGGAATTATTTTTTTACGTGGCAGAGTCATGTTGCAGCTATATTATGGTCGTAGTACGAATGAATCGGTTCGACCGGGGTAGGACCACGCTCTCACAGAATACCAGCGTAAAATAGCAGCTCAATGCGGCTGTGTTTGCTATGTTCTATGCTATGCTATGTGGTAGTATATTGAGAGTACTTTTAACTGAAATCGAGGCATTCCATCTTAGTCCTCAGAGGTGACACCGCATCTGAATTTTGGTTCTAAATTGAGGATAAACGTGGATGTCTATGGGCCACATAATCTATTTACCATCAGGTGGACTGTGTGCTCGCTTGTCACCCAATGCTATAAAAATGTATACAAATATTATACACGGAGACCTGATAAGACATGGAGATAGTCGATAGATGAAAGAAAGGCTATGATGATTATGTTGATGATAAATAAGGCTCTGGTTTCAAGTAACAGAATGCCAAAATGTCCAAATAATATCTCACAGACTAGGGGTCACTTATCAGGTTCTTAAGTCTCCACTCTATCTTAAGTCACCACCGCTTGCTAGCGTGATAAGGAAAGGCAAATCGTTAAAGTTATGCCGTTACGCCTGTTACCGCATTCTTAAAAAGACGTTTATTTATTTACTGGCTTTTACCGTCGATTTTATACGCACAGAACTTTAAAGAAAAATCCTACAGATCTACAATAGTAGTCCTTGTGGAAGGAGTTCAATCACCAAAACACTTTTTTCATAAAAACCGTTTTAGATAATATATTTAGCGGTCAGCCACCGCATAGTCTACATCACCTGAGGATGCCTCGTGTAGAGTCGAAACAGGTGTTGTATTATCGACGATGTTTTTTTGTCTTTCCTATTGCAATGGTTTTGGGAGTAGTGGTGCTGGGATTATTGGTGACGGGATTAGTGCTTGCAATTGGGAGGGCGGGAGGTGTTCTTTAAACTAGGTAAGACACTAGAATGTGTGCGAAGTAAATCTTACCAACTTTAATATAATGGATTTCTGCAAAGTAACACCTGATTCAATAAATTATTTTAGAAAGTCTTTTAGCACCTTATTTTTTATTAAAACTCATACTTTTGTAGTAAAATGTTAAAACCAAATTTTAATTATGTTGAGATTTAACAGTAAAATTTTAAGAGATAGAAGAAAAATGATTTGAAAGCTTTTTGCTCGAAACTTTGTACATTTCGTGAAGGTTATGAGATAATCAAGAAAAAAATCAGTTTTTTTTTATTTTACAAAAGGAAATAATTTGCATATTTTTTGGGATAAAATTTAGCTTAGATTTTTACTTGTTCGTGAAGTTTATCTCAAACGATAATGATTTCTTAAATTTACGCGAACACTACACATTGAATGAAACGACTTATACGGATTATTATTGTGTGATTATCGCGTTTAATTAACTTATTCTTAACTTATTTTTAACCACCACTAGTTGACGTCTGAGTCAGTCTGACTGAGATGTTTGACGTCTCAATATCATAGTTAGCCTGGCAACCTTTAGTTTTCGAATATTAATTTTTGGTCCGATCTACGCAGAAGGAGCTAATAGTATTTTGAAGTCTTGCAGTGGTATGCTTGGGTTTGGATTTAATTTTGTTAATTATAGGATGCAATCACATGGCAGTACCCATCTATCAAGCACCCGAAATGTCGAGAATTAAAAATAAGATAGTTAAACGCGATAAAATTCATCTCAATTGATTCAGTATTCAGTTTTATGCGTATTGAATGAATGATACAATAGCATAGCAACGTCACTAAGTAAAAGTTCGTGTCTACCATAGGATCTTTTTTACTTTATTTCTTACAAAATTCTGATATTACACTCTTTGTCATTTCCAAATATAAATTCCTGACAATTATAAATGTTTTACAGCCTCTACTCTTTTTATTAAAATACTCAAGAGATCTCTTTTAATGTCCTCATACCCAAATACTGTCACGCCTTAAATACTTAGTCTGGAAAATGTGACCCGTGTCAGATGCCAAACGTCTGCACAAAAGCGTTTAATATAGTCATTAAAATTTTCATGCATACGCATAAATATTTCGACCTCTCTTAAATAGACTCTTACAATATTTTATGAAAAACATATATATATATATATATTTATATATATATATATATATATATATTATACGATTATACAAGTCTATCATTCGGGCTCCACCCTGATTAAAGATTTATTTCAAAAAATTCTAGCCTTTGGAATAATTGTTACATTATACATAAATTACCATGTAGTGGTGGTGTAAGAATATCCAATACTCCATGTCGCCCGTGGGTGTCGTAAGAGGCGACAGAGGGAAACAAATCAGGTTTTTAACAGAGTCTTTCTAAAGACGACCATAAATAAAAAACTACAGTTGCCAACCCACTTGCCAAGCGTGGCAACTATGGCAAATATCCACCTTATGAATCTATACTTTGATAGTCTGTAAGGGCAACTTGCGTAGGAAAGTGCTTTGTGTCTTGCCTTGGAGGAGACATATATTCAGCAGTAGGTTTGTGAAGGGCTGCAACGCTTATAATGATACGTTCGTTTTCAGCGGGCACTAATAAAATTGTTAATTGCGATTTTAGGTGCTGATTTACCACGTGTACGGCTAAAGGACATACAACTGAGGAAATGTGTGTCATGCAAGGCTGCTTTATGACCTTCTCAGAAATGAGAGGGAGGCATGTGCTCAGTAGTGTAACGAAATGCTTACTTACCATACCATACGATGAGATTGCTACCAAAATCCTTGAACGATCGACCACAATCCAGGGAACAACTGTGGGATTGACTTTTGTAGCCAAAATTCTTGGTAGTCATTTTTGAATTTGATATTTATTTCCTCGTTCGTTGCCAGTTCTTCTTCCAGTTGGGGTGATAGTTGTATGTTGACATTTGAAAAAAGATCTAACACACAGTACTGGTATTACCAATTTCGAAATGTCCTGGAATCTTTCAATGAAATCACTGTAGAGATTTTCTATATTGTGGCAGTAAACAAGTCGGTCGTCGTTGTTGCAAAATACTGATAAATTGGGAAAATAATGGAACTCACGTCTGCTTACTTTACATACTTTTGAACTCGTAAACCTTTGCTTGAATACTATCTCACTTTAAAGGTAAGTGGTGTCAAAGATGGTAAAGCGCACTGACTTAGCTTAACCAATTATGACAAATTATTCTACCGTTTGCTGTAAGCATTATGAACGACGAAATAAACAGTTTGGTTCGAATGCGAGAGTCTAGTCTAAAGGACCGATGATATAGTGGAGACGGAGGTATGTAAGTCAAGCAATTCCTGCGCACACTCCTTAATAAATAATTATCATTTTCAATCTATCATTAGCCCAAAAACTGTACACTTATTAACCTAACGGACCTTTTTTATAAACATTTGTTTGAGTGCAATTAGGTATGAAAACATTTAGGAACAGCATGGTAGTGTTTATTTTATTACCAGGGGTTACTATTAATCATATTATAATTCTTATATAGTATAATAACTCTTATATAGCAGTTTTTGCTCCAAAATTTTTTCTTTAAAATTTTCTGATAGACATTCCTACATATTTTTTGTTTCCCTCTGTCGCCTCTTACGACCCCCACGTCACGGGTTGATACGGGGTAGTGGATATTCTTACACCGCCACATCATGATACTAAGTGATCTCTTTTGACTCACTTGATCAATTCCAATTTGCTTTATTAAGG